AAGTGAACCCAGTGGGACCAAGGTGCCAAAACAACAAGATTTCCATTAAACGGGAGGACTCCCTGTCTGAATGGCACCTGCCTGCACATGTATCCTAATCTCAGTGGCACCTCTGCAGCAGGGAAAGGTATCATTTCATGGGCTTAAAGCAATCAACAGCTGAATCTTCATAGTTTATAAAAATGCACCCCACATAAATTTGCCAGCATGACTTGTACAGAAATCTACAATTTCCATTAATCACTATCATGTCTGATAAAGTTATAAAAACTGATAAAGTGCTAAAACTCATATAATTTCCACCATCTCGCCCACAGTATCTGAAATAGAGTGCAAGATAAAAATTTATTAAAACTGCCTAATGCCCAGTTTTACAATGGGTTTTACTTCTTGCCACTATCCCTCATCCTAAGAGGCAAAAGCTTCTGGGAACCACCATGCTTTACAGAGGGCCTTTAGCCAACACTGAAAAGCTGGAAATTGTGGAGAAGATTTGAACATTTTTACCTTTCACTTCAAAATAACTTTCAGAATTTTCACCCTTGAATTCAAGTCATTTTCTTTATGGATTGAAACTTAAACCAGCCTTGAGATGGTGTTCACCACCCCAGAATGTGGAAAAGCAGGCTGTCAGCAAGATCAGGTCCACGGATCCCACCACAAATCTATACTGAAATAAAACCATCACAGCGAGGGACTTATTTATGTTTGCAGAACAGTAATTTCAAGGTAACTTAGCCTAGAAATCACCATGACTATCTTGTTTATGCATATGTACTGCAATGCTTAGCAGCCACTAAAATCCTAAACCACTGAGGATGTGCTGTGCCTGGCATTAGTGAACTGTCCGCTTACTCCTTCTGAAGCATAATAATCTTAAAAACTTTACAACTGCAGAGACATTTGCCTGTATCTGTGCAAAGACTGCTGTTTACGAAGGTGAAAGTTGCAGGGAAAGGAAATGAAACTGTTCTTTCACCACCGGTGTTGTGTGGATGTCTCCAACGCGTCGGACCAGCTGTTTATGAGATGAGATCCAGCCTTGTAAAAGCAAACCAACATATTTTTGGTAGCAATGAATAATCCAGTCCACACATACGCAGCAGGAGGGATAATGGTGATGCTGACACGACTCTGAAAAGGTAGCAGGGGAGGGGGGAGGCTCTGAAGTGCTGCTCTCTGCCCTCCGCTGCACTCACAGAGCTGCTCCCTGCAGTAAATCTGCAGCTAAAACTGGTCTTCAGAGAAATCTCAGGGCTGCGTGGACACGAAACATGGACAGTAGCACTGAGAGCAGCCTTGCAGAGAAGTGAAGAGCAAATACACCTGGATCTGCTGTCTGCAATAGTTGGTTTCTTCAAAAGCAGTCCCAGCCTGCATCTGCAGGGCCACCCCCACCACAGCAGCCTTGTTCAAAATATGATTAAGTTTCTTTTAAAGCTTTCCTTCTAACAATCTGTTAATGAATTTAAAGGACACTTATACAGCGGCAGCAGAAAAAATAAGGAAACAAAAAAAAAATTGACTGAGGAGCAAGATTTAAAGATGTATCACACAGCAGTAAAGGTGATGGCACACTTTAAGAGGGACAGGAACTCCAAAAGCAAAAATTTGGGACATTCAGTGAAATAAAATGGAACTGTTGGGAGGATATTAAAGACAAGGAGAATTTTACCATGTATATCCCCTCCCACACAGAATAGTGAAAATTCAGTCACTTGAAACTTTAGGCACTTCACTGGATCAGACATAAATTCATAGATTTTAATGCCAGTGTGTTGTTACAGATATCATAACATCATTCTACAACTCCCTGAAAGGAGGTTGTAGCGAGGTGGGTGTCGGTCTCTTCTCCCAAGTAACAAGTGATAGGACAAGAGGAAATGGCCTCAAGTTGCGCCAGGGGAGGTTTAGATTGGATGTAAGGAAAAATTTCTTTACTGAAAGAGTGGTGAAACATTGGAACAGGCTGCCCAGGGAAGTGGTGGAGTCCCCATCCCTGGAGGTATTTAAAAGACGAGTAGATGAGGCGCTTAGGGACATGGTTTAGTGGGTGGTGGTGTTGGGTCGACGGTTGGACTCGATGATCTTAGCGGTCTTTTCCAACCTCAATGATTCTATGATTCTATGATCATAAACCATGAAGTTTTGTCCACTTATTCCCGTTTAACACCCACAGCTGCAGGAATATATTTTCTGTTAAAAAAACCCCAAGTCTTAATGTAATAATATGTGATGCAGAACCTACCTACCTACCTTATCTCTGAATTATTTTTTCTAATGCTTAGTTATCCTTATTGTTCAGCATTTATCTCTCATCTAAATAAATGCCGTTTCAGCATTTAGCTATTAGATCTTACTGTAGTTGTGTTTACCAAATTAAAGAATACAGAAAAATATGTTACAGAAATAGAAACTACATTTAACTATGAAATTAGACAGCACCAGATGAACCAAATTTGCTTTTTCTTCTTATGTCTGTAAGGGTAAACAAAGGTAAACTGCTTAGTCCTACCACAGCTGGAGTATGTCACTCCTCCCATGAAGTCACCATGTACGTAAATCCTACTAATAATGTAAATAAGCTTGACACTAGTTTTACTCAAAACATTTTTGAGAAAATTATTTCTAGATTGTTAAACAATTTACTACCCACTGATCCACACAGTTAAGCGCAAGGAAGAGTACACATCATGCTTAGTAGTAAGCTCATGGACTGTATAATGGAGGGGGAGGAGAGGATGTAAGAGCTAAAATGATACCCGCGATAGACACACACGCACATATATATACAACTATATTCATATATTGATACATTTGAAACATTTGCTTCAATTCAAGATGTCCTAAATGCTAAGACAACATCCTTCAGTTTGGTTAGAGACTGAAAATTTATTGCTTTACCCCCAAAGAAAAACATGACCTAATAACAGAGGTTCTGCCAAAAGAGAGGATGTTCTGAGACCAGAGATTTTATTTTCCTCCCTCTTATCCTCGCGTATTTCTGTTTTGCAAGTGGTGATATATGACCAGCCACAGCCAGGATAAAACACTTCCATTCCCTCCATATTTCCAATCAATTTTACTTTGCTTTCATTTTTAAACAACTTTTTTTCTCACCAGCCAGATGCCTTATTTGTGATAACTTCTATGCCAGCACCACTCTGATCTGAATTCAGTGTGTTGCTCACAGAACTTATTTTCTATGTGTAGCCATCAACAGCTAAAGCTCCTTACACAGAAATCACTAAAACAAGGCAGCAACTCTTTTTATTGCCGGGCACTGTCTTGACCTTCACAGAGATGCTTTGAATTGAGCAATTCATATGAAATTTAGTACTATGCTGTAATTCTCTCTGTCATGTGTGATAACTCAGAAAGCGTGCTAGTCATTCAGTACTACAACTTGGTATAATTGCTTCTGCAGCCTGACTGAAAGCTACATCATATGATCTGCCAGCACATGATTAGTAGTGTAATAAATCTCTGAAACAAGGCATGCAAATGCATTCTTTAAGAATCTGATGCGTTCAGAATTTACTATTAAATGCTTTTTCTCTTGCAGCAAGGTTTTGCTGGATATGTATATATTTATGGTTATAATCGGTCACTGGTGAGCAATAAAAGCAACGCTTTCCCCATTATTCCAAGTTTTAATAAAGAAAACTGAGCATATGTGTATTTAATATCATAAAACCACAAGACTATACTGATGTGTAAAAAAACCTGAGGTTATGCATGTTTTGCATAAAGCAGTGCTGTTGCATAAGTTTTAGTACCTGGGTGCCAAATTCAGAGCTCAGACACGAGGCAGCTAAGTGTAGAAGAAAGGCACTCCCTCCACCGATAAGAATGTCAAGAATTTTCTCATTTCACTAGTTTTACTCAGTGCCGTTCCAGACTAGATCACCGAACCCACAGCTCAGGCCACAGGCTGGCACAGTTGCCTAACAGCTGGTAGAATTTTCACCTCTATTCCCTACTTAACAAGTGTAACTTCCTAATTTAACTGAGTTTTTAAAATGTTGTCCTTTTTGCTGTAAGCTATTGTGTTATACCTGTACTTATATTCCTACATACACGAAATGAAAAATGATTACTTATAGCATGCGAAATATGCCATCAAGATAAACTTTTATTTTGTGGACTGAATAAAAATAATTCCTAGTAATGGGGGTGGCAAAAATAAAAAGTTGTGGGTTTAATTGGAAGCCAAATATAAAAAATCTGAAGCACTGACAGCAACAATGTCGAATTCTGTGGTTTTTAATTATGTAAGCACGCAAGGATAGCTGGACTTCTTTACTCTTTCTCCCCACAGAGAGTAAATTATCTTTTTTTGCTTGATGTTGGACTAAGGACAAGAAAGCATGAGTAAATACATTTTTAACAACCAGGATTATTGCCAAACAGAAACGCTTCTCTTTTCAAAGCATGTTAGAAGTTGTTTACATTTCACTGGGCCGAAGGAAGGAAGGTAGGAGAGAGAGGAAGGAAAGGAAGAAGGAAGGTATTTTGATAAAGTAACTCAGTGATACTGTTTCCTTATTTTTTAAACTATAAAAATAATTTTAACCATCTTATTGAATCCCTCATCTCTTCCACCAAATTAAATAGAAGTAACAGGAAATTCTTGTTAGTCTCCCTCCCATCACAGAGGTCTGTTAGTCTAATGAGGGAAGCTGAACAGCGGCAGCTGCTGGGGAAGAACTGGGGCATTTGGAGAGAGGTGCCCGTGTCCCTGCACGTGTTTAAGGGCTTGGGAGAAAAATCAGGCAGGGCAGGTTTCATTCTGACACCCCTTGTTTGGGCATCTGCTGGCTTTAGGGAAACTCCAAAATGTCAGTCTGCACTTAAAGTTTTCTCTCTTCAGTCTCGCCTCCCTCACCGCATAGGCACTGGTAGCTTCCAACTTAAAGATTAGTACAAATGAATTTGGGTCTATATTTTGTATTGTCTCTGGATGGGTTATGGGGCCAAGGGTTCTCCTCTGTACTCACCCGCAATATCCCAGAGCTGCAGCCGTACCACAGTCTCAGCATCCCAGCTCAGCACCTTCAAGGCAAAGTCCACCCCGATGGTGGCCCGGTAGTGGGGGGAGAAGTTCTGGTGGACATAACGTTTGATGATGCTGGTTTTGCCCACTCCCAGGTCCCCGATCACCAGCAGCTTGTAGAGGTGCTCCTTCTGACTGTGCTTCTGCATCTTTCCTGTGGCTGCGGCTGCTCCCTGTGAACTGATTGCATGCTCTGCCCGAGGAATCCTGTCAGCCCGAGGGAGAGAGAGGGAGTCAGGAACCAGGGAGGGAAGGAGAGAAGGTAGGTGGAGGCTCTTTCCCTTTGTACAGGAGCAGGATCACCAGGTCCAGCAGGCAGTCCTGCTGGGAGATGAAGTAAGCAAGGGACTGGGGGAAGAAAGTCTCCCAGAAAGTTTTGTGCGTATGTGTGTAAAGGTCAGCAGGAGGTGTGTCTGGGATTAGTCTGGCTACTAAAGACTTTGCAGGAAAATTCATGCAACCGTCCTGTTCCCTGTTTTACTCCTCGCTGGAAGGACAGTGTTTCTGCTGTGCACTAGTTTTACATACTTTTTTTAATCGCTTTCTTCTTGGTGATAATTTATCACCCTATGCTTTTTTCCAGACATCTTTAAAATTCTAGTCACTGCAAAAAAGCAGAAATCTCCTTTCAGACGTTTCACGCCTCCATTAAAGTGCAAAAATTAAACCAGTGTGACTTTAACTTTGGATGTGATTTGGTTTTAATCAATGTAAGCCAGTGTGAATGCAGTTACATCCTAGAAGAGGGCAGTTATAGCAATATAAAGCATCTTTACATGTGTCCATGCTAGGAGGGCTGTGTAAATTTAACTATAACAGATACACATTTTTAAGTTTCATTAACGTAATTGTGATTGTCTGTCTGTACCTATAAGCATGCTCACATCTGCTGAATGCGGCACACAGCTCATGCTTTGTTTTTTCATACAACTGGACTCTAAAATGCAAAGAATCCAGATTTATCCCATGACTCAATAATCAGGAGTTATGAAAGCATAACAGCATTAGAGCATATGAATGTCAGTGTCTCAGCGGTCCTCTGTTTTCCAACATAAGTGATATCAAACTTGCAAACAACTGAACGCATTTGAGTAAATCATTCCACTGACGTGATTGACCCTATATTTTCAATGAAGAACAGAGTGACAGTTTCACCTTGGCAGCTTAGCTGGAGACCCCTATCCATTGCCTAGAGGTGTTTGATTCTTTTAGCAGTTTTGATAGCAAACCCCCAGAATTTTAATACTTTCTGAAACTCATCCATGAATGGTTTTTACATTTATTGATGATCTTGATAAAATGAAAACACATTTTACACTTACTGAAATATTATTTGATGGAGTTCTTATCCAAATGTGCACTGAAATGGCATTAGAAATTTGTCATCTATCCAAAAAGCTGGATTTTAGTAGACAAAGAATTCAGAACACTTATGTTATTTAATCTTTTATCATCAGTCTTTAAACTCAAACTTTAAAGTTTGTATATATACACACACACAAAGTGGAAATGGGTAATTAGAGGAGAAAAATGTCTTACTTTCCTTGAAACTTTTTATTTTTAATAAGAGGCCTTTTTTCAATAAGATAAATTCTCTTTCCAAAAACAAGCTGTCAATTGTATCCTTCTGTTTGGAGAGAAAATTTTAAAGGGCTTAGCCTTGTTAGCTACAGACATCAGAAAAGACTATAATTTGAGAAGCAAATCAGTTCACTCCAATCAATTACTATCTTTGCATGATTCAAGCTTATTATTGTTGCTACTCGTAGTGTGCGGGCTGTGAATCTTACCTTCACAGCACTGCCATTTTCGGAGAGGATCCAGTACCCAAGCACTTCTAAGCACTCACAATTCCTCTCTAAAGTTGAAGATTTCCCGTTTTAGAGGTTAAAAAAAGAACAGGCTGAGAAGGTTTAGCAATTTAGGAAATGACAAAATTGGTGTTTTGGATGAGGTTGAAATTACACCTGATCTTTTATCCTTCTTTGATGATGGCCAATGCTCAGAGAACAGTGCATGGAAGATCACTGTGAGCAAATATTAGGTAACTGGAGGTCGTACACTGTTAGTAAGTGAAGTTAGAGATTGGCCTACACCCAGAAGCATGAGGCTTTACCTCTCTTCCAAAGTTTTTGTTAGCATTAGCTATAATAGCTCTGGATAATCGTGTTATTTGTTTAAGTTTCAATTCTTTGAACCTGACTAAGTTCTTGGCCCAGCAACACCCCGGTACAATGAGCTCCTCACAGGCTTAAGCAAGGCCACCCAACGAATCAAGGCTTCGTTGCATTTAGAGGGATGATTCGCTGAGCTAAAGTGAAGCATGGACTGAAGCGTCTTGCTGAGTGAAAGTTGTACGGAGATCTATCTCCTAACTCCATGGTGAATTGGCTTTTATAGACACCGTCTGCTGAATGCTCCTGAGGCAGGATAAGGCCCTCAGCCCTGCCTTGCTCCACCTTTTTGGAGGAGTGTTCCCACGTCCTGAACTATGTCTGTACCGGTTTGGCTTCATTGTCATCTGAAAGCACTGGGACAGGGAGGTGTGGATGTCGGGACAGGGAGGTGTGGATGTATTGCTCATTTGCAGCTCTGCTGCAGGAACAATAAGCACTGTCATGGGGGAAGGCAGATAATTTGGGCTGGTCATGTCTTAAGTGATCACTGCAAAACTTGTTTGATGTTACCAGCTGATCCCTTCGGGCACACAACCAGGTTACTGTGACTCAATGATTTGCTGCAGGCAGAGGTGCCCAGGGAAGCACACTTAGCCTGGAGCTGGTACAATGCAATCTGTCTTAGCTGAGACCACAGTTAAGCGCAGTTAATATAAACCATATTAGCTTGCATTTGCCACCCACAGGTAGGCAGTTAGCAAGGCTCAGCTGACATGGAGTAACTTGTTAAGCTGGGAGAACCAGATGGTGTCTCTGAGCCCTTATTCTGCTGCTTCAGGTCCTTCGACAACGTCCAGGCAATAAGAACATGTAAACATGCCACCAATTTAGTTGATATTTCAGTGTTTATATTTTGGTTGTCTGTGTTTTCTCTGGTAAAGACACACATTTTAAACTTTATTAAATCAATGTAAATAATAATTAAAATCCCACGCGACATTACGTATGTCTATGCTGTTTTATTTTTGTATTCCCTGCCTATCCACTATGCTATTTGCCACAATAGTGTCATCCAATGCTCTGCTATCTCTATTTTAATAAGTATACTAATATTAATAGAGTATATTAACACTCTATTTTAATTGGCAGGAATTGATACAAATGCTATACGTCTCTATTGTAAATAATAACATTTAACAAAGTTCCATCAAATTAAGGCATTACAGACTGTGTTGGCCTTGGCATAAAAGTGAAACTCATTTTACGGTGATAACTTTCAGGAACTTCTCACTATTTCTCTGTCATTAGTAGAGATCTTTTTCTCTGAGAGAAGTGATAAAATTGAAGATGCAATTATGTTGACAGGAATCAAGGACAGCATAAATGCATCCTGGATTTTATCACTCCTTCTCTTTGCACGGCATATACCACAAAAAAAGGCATCAATCCTGACTGAGTACCACGCTTGTTACCAACATACCTTCTAAAAATGACAATATTGTCTGAGATATTGAAACCATGAGGCAACAGTTTTTGTCTACAGAAACACATTCAAACTATTAGAAATGTATGTACTTGAAGGATTGCCATCTAATTATCTAGGGGTTTTACACCACAGCTATACCTGGTAGCTTTGAATGTCTTGAAGGGATTGGCCTATGCCATCACATTGATCTTACTGAATATCATATCATATAAATGAGACCATTATCCAGGAAATGGTAAATACACATGTGTGTGTGTATATGTATATATAAGTATATATCTATACATGCACACACACAAATTAATATGATAGAAGATTATTTTATGTTCTGCTTTAAAAAAAAATACAAAACATCATTGAAATTCTTTGCCAGACTTCCATATCCCAATTAGTCCTGGGGTACGGACTAAATACTAAGTTGTTAGCTGCACAAGAGACTGTTCATCTTTTATTAATATATTGCCTTCCTCATTTCAGTCATAGCATATTCACTGACTTAATTATGGGAATAGTCAATCATGGCGAGAATAATCTCTTACAGAGAAATAGATTAACAAAATGGTGCATTCCCTCAATTTTATTTTTAGACTAGAAAGACTAATAATTAGTTTGGATTTTCCCTTCTTCCATTCCAACAGTTCTTGTGATTAAGACACTCAGTTAAATATTACTATTGACTCATCAAACATACTTAACGGGCATGCCCAAGTGTTACCTCTTGGGAATTATGCTCCAGCTGTCCTACAAAACAAGGTCCAGATGGCAGGAATAGTCTATGCAGTGTCTGTTTTATCTCAGGAACTACACCTCTCAAAACCAGCTAAAACCTTTCCCTCTAGCACAATTACAGCCCTGTTTAAAAAGTCTTAGACAGGTACGAGTTACTGGTTGAGGTTACAGTTTTGCCCCTTAGAACAATGTTTCTAGGGTTAGAGATCCCACAAGATCAGACCTCAAGGCAAGATAGGATTCAGGGCAGAGAAACAGTGAGAACACAGGGAAAGAGATTCCAAATTCCCCCAGCCTATAGGTGCATGAATCATTGTATTTGAAGAGTGAGAGTTTGTGGCTCTCTCACAATTACAAACTCTTAGTCTGATAAAGGGAGCCGGCTCGGCTATTTTTTGCACATTTCAATATACCTTCCATATCCACCAGCCCTGTACAGATGCCTCAGAGCATCGCAGATGGTTTTAGTTACCTGTGCAAACACGTTTCTATTCCATCAGACTCAAAAAACAATAATAATAATTTGATGTAATTGCCTTTTCTCAAGGTTGATTTTTTTTTTTTTTTATTTTCGTATAGATCCACACAGCCTAATAAAATCCAAGTTAAGATCTATCCTTTGGAGCCTGCAGAGAAATCTTAGGTGGGTTGCAGTGCATTTTACACCAAGTGCATTTGAACAGTCACCTGGGAATACATGAACGCAGTGCAACTTCAAAAGCAATAAGGGGAAGGACCAGAATGTCTGCCATGGGTAAAATCTAATAACAGGGGGTCAGTAATACTCTGGGAAAAGTAAAATGGCTTGTCCCTGAGG